CAATTATCGCTGCTGTTATTCTCGTGGCTAAATGCATTAACTGTTGAATTACCCTTATATATTATATAAAAGAACAGGCCTTTTTTATGTACCAATTTTGTGACGACGCTATTTAACTTTTTTCCAATTTTCTTTCACAAAGTTGTTCCAAATACCTTCGTGAGTATCACCACGTCACCCGATTTTCAAAATTTTGATTTTAAAGGGTTGACATAGGTCAAAATTAATTGTTTACGTGCAAATTGTATATCTATATATATATTTTACAGTTTGGCAACCTGTGGGTTTCCATAGCGACATGCAACCATAACTTTTTTTTTTTTAAGTCGTGAATATTTACAACAAACAAACTACAACATCACAGATTTAATGGAATATGTTGATAACAACAAAACTATGATGGCTTCAGAACAAAATAATGTATTTAATCATGTCATTAATTGTGTTGAGGAGTCAACAGGTAATATTTTCTTTTTGGATGCTCCTGGGGGCACTGGAAAAACAATTATTATTAATTTGTTGTTGCTGCGCCATCGGATATAATATAGTAATATTCTTTTCTTATTCGTATCTATAAAGTGAGCAATAATAATAATAGTATAATACGTATTTAATTTTAATAGCAGTGTATTTATAATAATTCATATTTTATATTTAAATTGATGAATCTTTTAAACATATTTTAAACTATTTAATTGTTGTTTTCCGTTTAAATTTTTTTTGTCGCTTAAAAAATTTCTTTCTGAAAAATATTATATTAAATTTGTCTACCCTAATCCCGAACCCAAGCTTCGCCACTGATAAACTCACTAATAGTTAGTGGATTTCAAACACTAGAAATGGATTACTTTTCTATCGATACGGTTATTGATAGTGAAGAATCGGTACATTTTCCTACAGAGTTCTTAAATTCACAAACACCATCTGGTATGCCTCCTCATAAAATATCACTGAAGGTGGTTTAGTTTAGTTTAGTTCCAATCATATTATTGAGAAATTTGAATTCTCCTAGATTATGTAACGGGACTAGGCTTCGTGTCACCTCTCTTACAAAAAATGTAATCGAAGCTGAAATTTTGACCGGATGTGCTAAGGGAGAAAAAATATTTTTACCGAAAATACCATAATACCCCAACGATTTTCCAGTTAAGTTTAGAAGAGTTCAGTTTTCAATAAAAGTCTGTTTTGCAATGACAATAAATAAAGCTCAAGGTCAGACTTTAACTTATTGTAGTGTAGATTTAGAAAATAACTGTTTCTCACACGGACAATTGTATGTGGCATTTTATAGAGTTGGAAGACCTGACCATTTGTATGTTTATGCACCACAAAATAAAACTCTAAATGTGGTATACCAAGAGGTTTTGACTTAAACCATATTAAAATTAAGCAACTACGTATCATTTGTAAATATTCATAAAAAAAGTTATATATAATTATAGAAACATTTTTTAATAACAATATGTGTATAGAATCATTAGAATCATTAGTATCATATTTTGTAACTACTATTATTATTATTTTTGTTGCATTTATAATTCTTTAAAACACAACAATTTGTGTTAATTTAAGAATTTAATTTTGATAAAACAAAAACTACACACGGGCGAAGCCGGGTAATTCAGCTAGTTATTAATATTTTCTGAGGTTTCGGGATATGTTTTCATGACATTTTTATAGTTATTTCAGAATAAATTATACTCAGTACTCAAACGTCTTGATCAATATTTGTAGATGATAACCACATTTACATATATTATAATACTTAAGAGTTAATTATAAATTATTTTTATTTATAATTTACTATAATTTCTTAGAAATTCCATGTATAATATATTAAAGGTATAAGCTACAAAGACTTATACTATATGTAATATACATATATATTTATATTATATCACAATTATACCAAAATATTTAGGGATCTGGCACACCGAAAGCGGTGTGACCGCGGGATTTCTGTAAAATAGTACAACTGGATATCTGTTTGCCCCGATCCGCGTATCCGTACACCATAAAAGCCCGCGTTCTGTGTGCCGGAGACTGGCGAGCCACAAAAATTGGAAATGAGTAAATATAAAAATTGGCTGAAAAGTCATGCCTAAAACGTCTTGAAACACAATATATACGTGTTAAGACGACGTTACTTACTACCTGTAAAATTCGCGGTGTATCTAACTTCTCTATCTTATACGAAGTAAGTACTTTAATGCAAAAAATACATGTATTATACATGTTTATTACGACATAGGTTCGTTTGCAATAGTTACGATTCTAATATTTCTAATACCTACCTAATATCCCGAATGGCGTGCTTGCCGAACTACAACGTAATACACTTTAAATTCGTAGTAGGTACATTTTATCTTCATACCGTGCAAGCGTATACTATAGTATCGAAAACCTAGGTAATTATTTATTAAATGTTTTCGTAACATTTATTCGTGCAAAATCCAGACGAATATTAGCTAAATCGTTTATGTTTTTAAAGAAGCTCTCAAGCTCATCGGAGATATATAATGATTAATGACTAATGAGTATATGATAATTGATAGGTAATGTTAGATTAGTTCGTTTAAAATTGTCAAAATTGAACAATTTTCTTCAGACAACGCGAATGTCGAGCACAGACAATTTAACAACTTAAATGAATTGATTACTAATAGGGGAAATCGTATTTTTCCCANGTGTTGAGATAGCCAAGGTTAGAGTGACCACACGCGACGATATTATTAAGACAGTATTACACACGGCATACGTGGCACAATATATTAATTACTGTTAATAAGTGTCACAAGGAAAAGTTGATAAAAGATCCGTCGTGAATACTTAAGTGGGACCTTGTAAAAGACCATGTAATCTGACTGTTTGTCTAGTATATAAAGGCCCCACATCAGGGAGACCAGACACACTATTTCTGCGTGACGACTAGTTGACAGTATTCATGCTAGAGATATTTGTCTTAAGTTGTAACATTACTCTGAGTGTTTAAAAAAGTGTTCAAATACTAACCTACAACGTCAATAAAATTATAACAATAATTAATTTGTCTACGAGTAAATTCATTTGATTTGACCCTTGTCAACCGAACTCCACATCTGGATCGCAACACTGCCCCAAAACATGATGACAGACACACAAGTGTGCACACAAAAAAAAAATACACATCATCGTAAAACCAATGGATTCATCTCTTCGTTCAGAACCTAATATTTTTTGCTCGGTCAAAGACTTGAAACTGCCTCATAAGTTATTTAGTGGAAATTAAAAGAATTTTGAGAGTAAATTTACAGTATTTTTGTATTACAGTCTAATTCAAAAATGTTGACAAGTCTTCAAAATCAAGAAAATTTGAAAATTATTTTGTGTTAGGAATTCATAAAAATGTTCTATTCGATCTTTGAAATTTAAATCATAATATATCTCATTACTTTGATTTGATGTGTTTATACTCCATAAAAAAAATATATATATGTTTATACCTAAAAATATCACTGAGATTTAAAATAATTATAATATCGCATTATTGAATAACTTTTTACCTGATTATTGCTTAATTCTGAAACATTATAGCTGTAGACATTGTCGAGTTCTTGAATTTCTTTAGTTTTTATTAGTAAATTTGCCAAATTGTGTTTCAATTTTTTTCGTGTTATGAATAATTTAGCTCGTTTTTTATTACCGAAACGCCAATTACCCATTTTTACCACAAAAAAATAAAATCGGTAGTGAGTACAAATAGAAACGTGCACGGAGTGAATCACGATGGCATAATATACGATTTACTGAATAATATTTTATTAGTAGCTGTGTATCGTTATTATTATTCTACAACTATAACAGTATGTTATTGATTTCTTATCGTCCGTATAATTGTCACGGCTAAGTTTCTCGGAAATCCGTATAGCGTGCCTACGCGCAGTCATACGTCACTATATTTTGCGATTGAAAATGTTTCTACTCCTACGCGGTTATGAAAGACCCAAAAAGCGGAAGAAAAATTCACCCAGTACCAAAAGCCCGATTTTAATTTTGAAAACATATTTAAATTCATTATTCTGTTTTCTAGGTTATGTAGGAAATGGATTTTCGATTTTTTCTATTGTCTAATTAATATAGTACCAATTAATTTTCTTTTTTTCCAAAATTCACTTTTACTTTATTGTTACTAAAAAACATGAAATTAAAAATTAATTTCCTACATAACACAGACAAGGAGTAAAGAAATCCAAAAAATTTTTCAAAATGAGAATTGGACTTTTGGAAGTGTATTTTTTTTTCTTTTGCTTATTGGTCTTAATGCACGAAAAAACGACCCACTTTCAAAGTTTCAACCGCCTTAACTTTAATATATTAGTAATTTTTTTCTACATGTAAAAATGATAATTTATTTATTTTAGAGGTTTTATGCATTATTCTACGACGACGATATGATCCCGATCAGACTACACCTAATAATGAATATACCAGCTGTATGTATATATAGGTAATTACTTTTTATATTCATCAGTATTATTTTGTCCACATTATTCTTTGAAAATGCGTTTGTTTTTTTTTAGTTTCCTATATTTTGAAACCAAATGTTCGACATCCAGTAAGTAAGGGTCATTTAATTGAATAACTTAATTTATTGAATATATTTAGGAAGTAAGAAAAATACCAAAAATTGAAAAAACGTCCACGGTTCACAGCCGTCATCTGCCTATTTTCTTAACGCTCGCATTGTTGCTATACTGCTCCCGAAACTCGCAATTTAGGTAGGTAAGCTTTACATTATAATATTATAATATTATGTAACATACAAAACCTTGTCTAATGCATAATACATTTTTAGTTTGCCTTAATAATTTTTAAGACACAAATTAATACTGTTTGCGCAGTAATATTTATTGCATATTATAATTTTCACGTTAGCTCAACGGTCTGTATCGTTTATCAGTGACGCGTTCTGATACGGCGCTAGTTATCAAGTATTACCCGCCGTTTACTGATTACGCTTCCCGTATCACTAATATCATTATCATTCTCATCTTTCTAAAAAGCCTTAAGTTCTTTTCTTCGGTGTCATCGAAAGTATCATTATTTCAAGTTTTCTCCGTTTGCGTAGGTGGCACTGAGGTATTGTTCCATACTTCGTCTCATTCTCAAACTTAAGGCACCGTGCCTACACCACATTTTTTTCTCGTTCTCTTTTGCATTGTGCTGTCAAGCTAACAACATATCTGTATCACTATATAACACATTTTCTCGTCTCATTAATCTCTCAAAAGCAAAATATCATTTCAAGTTGTTTTATACCTATCGTGTCAAGCTGTTCCTGTATTGTTTGTATCTGCCCTAATCAGGTGATTCATATTTGTGTTAAATTTCACCTTGTCGTTGTAAGTCGTTCGTCTAAGTTGGTTACCCATTGGTCACACGTCTTCGGGATTGTCGCACATTTTATTTTACATCTTTGTATTTTTTATTGTGCAAGTGTGGGCATCCCGAGACGGTAGTGTTCCGGTTCAAAGCCACCAACTGACACCAGTCTCTGCAGGTAATCGGCTGATGAGCCTTATTATTTATTATATTTATATTTATATTTATTATATTGATACTTACAATTATTTTATGTATCACTTATTTTGTATTGAGCCAAATTCTAAAACCTCTTACTTTCCCATAATTATACAGTTCACTACAACAACTCTAATACATTTCTAATATTACAATATCCTCGCTTAAAACAGTGCTGCCTATTGTTGTGCATCAGCTGATAGGCGCAACCAGAATACAATGTTGAACCTTAGATTCAGAGCGTAGCAATATATATATATTGGTTTTAAAATGATGTGTGTTTTTTAAATTTTTAAATTTTCTTTTTTGTGTATGTGTACACTATAGTTAGTCTAAATAATTTTCCAATTTTAAACTTCAGTATCTTGTTAGATGCGAAAATGAATCTAGTTAGTGCATATACCTACAATCAATTTTAAAATGCTTTTTGTTCATGACATTCAAACTTTATAAATCAAATAATTATTTAGGAATGTCACTACATTATTATGATCTATAGCTCCAAATGTCAACTATATGAAACAGCTCACAATAGAAAAATCAAAACTATATAAAATTATCTATTATCAAATTGGCTGTCACTTTTTCTGCTAATCTTTTCAAAAAAAATTATCAACATTTTAAATTTATGAATATATAACATTTTCTTTCTGAGTTACTATTAAATTTAATTTTAAATCTGTTTTAATTAACTGTTGACAAGACAACTTTGGAGCAATATGAATCCAATTTATACATTTTACTTGAGTGGATCTTGTGGTTAGGGCAATAAACATGACAAGACGTCATGTGAGTATAATATATTTAATGATAATATTATTTCAAGTATTTAGACATTAGCTGTTTCTAAATATTTATATATTAAACATAATTAAACATAATTACATTTACGAGATTCCAATCAAAATAAATGATTGTAGACTAGACACAAATAATAAATGATCATGATTATACATATAGTTTTTTTTACTAATAAGATCAAAATAATTATAGCAAAAAAATATTGTCATTTCTTCTGATATGTTAAAATTTTTACTGAAAGGTTGTAATATTAATTTTATAATTATTTAAATTAACTACATATACCGCGTGTCTCTAGAAACAGTTGTACACTTTATCCCTCATTACCCTGTAAATATCTTTCAATTGTGTTTAAATTCAATCCCGTTAAACTAGACTAATAGATCATAAATACTTACGACTTAATTTTTTTTTACTTAACTAATGTATTTGCATTAATATCATTATCTGATTGATTTTCTTTTTTCAATAAATTTTGATGAATTGACTTGTGTTATAAACTAAAAATTAGCTAAATTAGAGCTATAGGTAGAATTAAAAAAAAAATGTATTAAGTTGAATTATATTTTTTTTTAAGTAACAGATTGAAAAACTGGATGTTGAATCCCCTTTACTAGTTTTTGGAGTTGTATCTACCACCAGTCAAAAGGTTCAGGAGACATCCACCATGGAGTAGGTTTTTCACAAAATTAAATTATAATTATAATGTTGTAATTAATTTTTGATTTATATCATTTACTTTCAGACTGACTACAGCTGATATTCGCTACCCATTATTACAAAGAGGTCTGAAATTTAAAAACATTAAATAAAAAAAAAAACCGTGTATGATGATATTGTATCAATCATGACAAAATAGTTGGGTATCATCACAGTTTTTTGATACGTATCTTCCATTTTTTACTTTAAATTTATCGTTGTTCTCCATTTCTTATTGGCTGTCAATTATATACATAAATATATAACATAGAAACAAATCAACCAATCAGAAGCTGATAACTATGACATGGGATCGAGGTCATACTGAAAAAAACTATTACTGCTGTGATGATATCCATCTGATTTGTCATGGTATCTATTACCCCTCCAATTGTATTAATACATTTTTTAATTTTGTCCAAAGAATCACTCAAAAGCAAGAAAAAAATGTTGATTTTGTCCAAAGAATCACTAAAAAGCAGGAATAAAAGACTGAACAATAAAATTTCAATGCATTTAAAATTATCAAAAATACTAACCAAAAGTTTGGATGACATGAAGGATAAAAATGCCAAGCTTACTGAGAAATTTAATGTAGCGCTGTTGGAAGATAAAGATTACCAGTGCCCAGTTTGTCATGAACCATTCATAGAGGTAAAACGTTTAATAATTTTTCAAGAAATATAATACATGTATTATGTAATAATGATACAATTAAAAATATAACTAATTTTAAAGAACCTCATTGTCATAAGAATACAACTTATCATTTTAATTATTGTATTTAATATTAATTTTTTTTATTTAGCCAGCATTGCTTAATTGCTCCCACATGTTTTGTACTTGGTGCCTTGAAAATTGTTTAAAGGAAAATAATCACTGTCCGTTATGTCGAGTACCTATGACCCATGCTGTACACTGTTTGAGCATGAAAAATTTCATTGAAAAAAGAATGGAACTCATGCCAGCTACAATCAGATTAGAGCGCAAGAATTTAGAAGAAGGCCGAAGGGCAAAACATATATGTAATGCGTTTATACCGTACTTGAATATATTCAATTGTTAAAAAATTCCTTTATTATTTCAGTTAAACAAAGCCAAGAAGAAATTTTTCAACTTTACCTTAGGTATTCAAGCGATGCAAGCCAGTCATCAAATAATTAAAGCTGTGAATTGATACATTTATTTTAATCCCGCTATATTAATTTGTGCGACATATTTTGAATTATTACTATACTTGTAACAAAATTAGCAATTTGATTGCATCATCCTTTATGGTTAAATATCAATAATAGCATATTAGTGGTTGTGGGCCACATTACAAAATTGCTTATATTTTCTAAGAATAGGATTTAAATTGATTGTTTAAATATGTATATAAAAATTAACTAAGCTTAGTGTGTTATTGTCTACAATGTACAATTTTTGATAATATGTAATACTTATATTTTTAGAATATTCAGAATTCCAAACAATTTTTTGTATGTATATTTATAACTATTTTGATAAAATAATGAAATAGAGATAAAAAGTAAAAATGCGTGTTTTTCTATAGTGTAATTACCAATATTAAGACTAAAAATCGCGGAGGACGAGAAATAAAAATTTATAAAATTAAAAATATTTAAATAATGTATCTAATTAATGACAATTACAAATTATACCATTTACATAAAAAAATTTTAGCATATGACTATTAATGTATGTTTTCACAAATTAACGGAAATGTTTTGGTTGTATAATAAGCTTAAATTGAAAATGTGTGCATACTATATTAATGTTTTCCATACATAGAATATAACATGTTGAATAGCACGAGTCCAGGTGTAAGTTTAGTTTACTAGACAGTTACAAAATGAATGTTCTTATTTCAAATAATTTTAGATAAGGTTGATATTATGTTTTCATAGATGTTTATAACTTATGCAGTATTAATTTCTGAGGGCATTTTTAGAAAACAATATTTTTCAGTTATTTATTTTTATTTATTTTTTGATATTAAGTAAACAACACGCTTTAAAGCAGGTGTGGCTCCAGGAGGAACCAATGAACCTTCCCTCCCAATCCCATATTTCTAAAAATTGTGAATAATAAATGTACCTAAATTCAATTTACTTAGCATTTATTTATTTACACGTTTTTGGGGGTAATTTATTTTATCACTATGTTTCTTTTTTTATTCAGTAAGTACTTCTCTTTAGTTTTCACTCATTGTTTGTAAACTTTAGTTGGCATATTTATAATTTCGAACATGGTAATAAGTAATACCACACTGTTAGTTGCACAATTGACAAATTTAAATGTTATTATTTATGAAATATGATATATAATTTAATAAGCGACAGTCGATAACGAAATGAAACAAATAATGAATACGCGATTATGAGATAGCAATCATTGTGCATTGAGTACACGAAATGGAAGTAGGTTAACCGGTCGGCAGGACAACGCTTGATTCCAGATTTTATTATAATTTCTCATTACAAAGTTTGCAAGTTTATTTTAATAACTTAATGTCTAACCTTACGATTTCGTTGATTTTTGCATAAGGTCATAAGGATCATCTGCATAATCTTTCTGATTTTTATACATTTGTTAGGTATTAATTGATTCTGTTGATAATTAGTTAAAAAACACCAAAATGTACACTGTTTAAATAATAAATAGGCAACTCCTGCTTCGAGATAATCTACAGTTTCGTGCCACCGCTATATTTTATTCAATTAGCTTGCGCCACGACCGTCACAGCTGGATTTTAAATCTTTTATGATTAAAACTTAAATATTGAAAATCGTAATTTGTCTTCATATTTAATTCTACTATAAATATGGAACAGAGAAGGTGCTATACGTATGTTCAAAAACATTTTACTCATCAAATTTTTCAACTGTAATTAGTTTTTTGAATTCTTCATACATAAATGTGATATGGATTATTACTAATTTAAGTTTAAAAAAGGTATGGAATTAGAAAAATTAATTAGGTAGAAATTATTATTAATCCATTATCTTTGACTCCAATTAAACCTGTTTGTGTACCAGTGTACCTATGTGTATAATGTTACAGGTTGATTTTACCAAGATTATCAACAACTAACTTCGTGTTAAATCTAGACGAAAGAGGGATGGTGCACGAAGTATCTAAGGACAAAGGATTAATAGACGTATAGGTATAGAACAATATATATATATAAATGTGTCGATGTTGCGCTTGTAATGATGAGACAGTAGATGATATCATCCACAATACCGTTATTCAATGTTTATGCATTATACATTTCAAAATTCATTTATACATAACAATATTACAATCCTATTAAACCTTTATAATTTGAAGACTAAAAATAAGTAATTATATTTTGTGCACGGTACTATCTTCCAAAATGCCATTCTATTGCCAGGCGTCATTTTGAAGTATTAATTTTCCTGCTAAATTGATTTTAAATCTAGGGTCCAAAAGTTTTAAAATTTACTTTTTATAGTTTAGCAGCAAATGATGCCCCCAAACGTCTACTGCCTGTAAAAGTTTTCTTAATACCTTTTAATAAAATCCAGCCCTGTTGATAATAAAAACTAAGCCACTGAAAAAGGGTACAATGATCAAATGTGAATGTTTATGTGCGGTCCGTAGTATATAATAATAATATACGAGTCCAGACACCAAACTCCTTTTTTACGCCACCAACACCTAGGTCTAAGAAATATGTTATGGAGGGCTAGCTGGGTGTGTAGTGGTGTGATAGCTCGAACAGCAGTGGTCGGGATTGCCGGGCTAATACTGTCGAACTATGTAGTGTATGTTGTGGATTATGTGTATTTGTGTATGAGTATGTGTATGTATGTAGATGTGTGTACAATAAAACAAATAATAATAAAAATGGTAACAAGGTTTCTGGTAATAAGTTGCTGTTGCTGTATAATACGCAATAATAATAATAATAACATAAATATATAACAAAATCACAGCAACACAAATGTATAAAATATAATATAATAAATAAATCAAAGCCCTTATGGCTATAACAGTATATAATATATTGTGGCCCTTCTGGCCCAACAGAAAAAGGTATAATAAAAAGCTCGGCCCTTATGACTCGAACAAACCAAATAATAATAAACACAGCTATTAGAACTGATGCTCGTGTACAAATAATTAATATAAATATAAATAATGCACGGCCCTTGTGGCCCGACAGAATATAATAAATATGTATAGCCCTTATGGCACAATGAAAATAATATAATAGTAGTAATAATTCAAGCCCTTATGGCTAAACAAGATAAATATAAAACTATAAATGTGCAGCCCTCGTGGTTGACAAATAAATACATAATATTTTGGCCCTTCTGGTCCAACAGAATAAAGTATAAAATATATATATAAACTCACATATTTGTCGGTGAAACCGCTGGATTAGATAACATACAAAATTTGTTACCGTTGTTGTTTTATTAATAAAAATAATGGACAAGGGTTTTGAAAAATAATTTACTTTGTAATTCTAAAAGCCACCCAAAAAGTTCCTGTACTAATAAATACATTTTAAATTTTAAAAAAACAATTATACAAATACATTGACGTGAAAAAAAAATTAATATTAATATTTTATGTAATAATGTAAGGTGTGTTTAACTTATACTAACATTTGATTTTTTAATTTGTAAATTGATTAAGATTTTAATAATTATTCTAATAAATTGATGTGAAATAAATTAATATTAATATTTTATATAATATTGTAAGGCTTGTTTGACCTAGCTAATACTATAACATTTGATTTTGTTTGTAATTTGTAATTTGATTAAAACTTTTATTCAATAGGTAATAGTTTTAAATACATTAACTAAACCCTTATTGTTAGTTTATAAAATATCTAGTTGGTATGTAGAATAACTAGTTGAAGCAAATATTTATGGATTCTTTCAATACATTAACTGTAAGTACCCGTAATTCTAAAAAATAACAAGTTATTCTATAGAATTACGGAATTTCATACATTAACGCTAACATATATATATATAAAACAATGATGGTAAACAACTTTTGAATAAAAACTTTGTAATAATATTATTAAGTACGCCATGATATGGAACAACGTATGGTAAGAGACAGATTCACGGCGGCCGTGTTAAATAACATTCGCGTAGACGGCGCGGCGGCGTGCGATAACGTTTAATCTACATAATTATTATTATATTATAACTCACATTCAATACGAAAATAAAACAATACAAATAAAGTGATATGTGTGTGTGAAACCAGCTGTTCCTCCGTGACCAGTGATAATTAAATTATTATTATTTTTATTGGTATTTATTATGTTGCGGAGGCAACAGGTTTTATTATACAATAAAATAATTTAATTATATTAATATTTTTTTTCTTATTCGTATTAAATTAGCACCAAACCAGTATTATAGGCATGTGTTAAATTTACATTTGATAGATTTTAATTTATCCAGGTAATATTATTAGTTGAAAAAAAATATACGATTTCTGCAGATAATACATAAGTAACCATATTCGATTATCTACACTCATTAATCGGTATAAGTGAGGCGGAGGTCTACTCTACAATATGATTATGAAATTAGTATTATTTTATTTTTAACATTCTCTTAACGTAAACTGCACCCCTCACGATTACACTCCTCTTCTCTGTTTGCTTAACTTATCCTCCCTAGCTGACCGTCGTCATTTCAATAATCTCTCTTTCCTTAACAAACTCCTAACAGGCTTGGTCGATTCCCCATCTATTCTTTCTCTCATTAACTTTAGAGTTCCAGTTAGGTCCACCCGCAATAATCATCCTTTCTTTATACCCTTCTGCACTAGAAACTATCTAAAAAATGAACTTATTACGAGATTAATGAAATTAGGCAATGAGGATCAGTTGTTCCTTTAATAGTTTTATTTTTGTATTCATTGTTTAGTTTAATTTATATTTTATACTTTGTTATATTATTCATGTTACGTTATTGTATGATTGTATTGTTCACCTAATTATTTTAACCTGGGCTCACGCTCGTTTATTCATTAAATAAATAAATAAATAAATATTAAACTAGAACCAAGTTATAAAAACAACACATTCATAAAATTTTTAATAAGTATATATACATAACATGTGAACAATAGGTACTTACCATAATGTCTAGAAAGTTTTTGTAATACTGCTTAATCTCAAACAAGTAGTACTGAATTAGCATTCGCATTTTGAACATAGAATTGAATGATATTACCGCAACATTACAACCCAGCTATGCAAAAAAACGATATAAACAATATATCAGAAGAAAAAACATTTTAAAAAAACACACATTATTGTGAAATCAATACACATTAATCGTTCAACTCGAAATCTAAAATATCATTACAAACGACTTACAAACGTATATGATAAACAAAAATTCAAAATGTCTATTTAGGGGGGGCTGGGGAAATGGACCTTGAGATATTATTTATTGATTATTGTTGCTCAATGTATAAATTGGTTATACCAATAACAGGCAATTGATTATTATTATTTTATCATACCTACTTTTTTTAGTGGTAGGAACAACGGGACCGTAATATTATTATTTATTACTTTATATATTATTTATAG